CATGCTGGGACAGTCATGCTTGGACTTCACACTCACATTGCCTCTAGGTTTTGGGTTTTCTTTTGTTTCAAGAACACAAGAGAATTATCTTTTGCAAGTTGTTTTTCAAAAGGAGAGGTCAGCAAATTTGAGGGTAGCCTCTAATTTTGTATGACTGCAGTCCAAGAGTCCCTTGATTCGATCAGTTGCCTTTTGCTGCATGTTTTGCATTTAACATCTTCTAAATGCTTTAAACATGGTCTTTACAGTTTTTTATATAACTTCTTGGGTTTTGCAATACACAGATAAGATCTGAAATTGTTCTTTCAGTGAGTTCTTGAAGTGAACTTTGCATTCACATGCAATCCAGCCACTGAAGCTGAAGTCTGCTATTAGTGCCTTTAAAGATCTTGTTTTGTGTATCTTAGCACAGTATAGGCAAAGAGGAATAGCTTTATTGTCAGGAAAAGTAGTTTTTGTAATCAGGAAAAGATTTCTAGTGTCACAAACACTAGATACAGTTGGATGGGAGAACTGTGGTTCATAATCCTGGAAAAACAATTGCCTTTGGGAGAGGGAAAAGATATACAGTATTTTGCTGAACAGGTGGATCAGCATCCATTTTAAGTCTCCACACATAAGACGCTCTAGACTCCTTCAGATAAATAACATGGTATTTCCCATCTGCAGGACTTCAGGTTCAGGAGTCTGCCATCTATACAAAGATAATCAAAGCAGCCTTGGCCCAAACCGACAGCAAACTCTCAGTCCACCCAACCATATTTGGAGAGAGACATGTTCCTGAGCAGTTGGCGTCAGTGACCAATATTGCTGTCTCTCGCCTCTCCCTGGGTCACGTAACCAGAGCTCTGTGCCATGGCATCATTGAAAACCTCTGTTCCATGCTACCTGTGCAATGCCTGATGGAGACGGGAGTGAAGCGGATCCTGGGGAGCGGGAGTGCCCTTGCCAGGAACGAGGTGCTGAGGCAGGAAGTGGAAAGGATTTTTCCATTCCCTGTGGTTTACGGGAAGGATGTTGATGCTGCTGTGGGGGCTGCTATGGTGATGTTCCACAGAAAATAAAATCATGGTTTGGAATAGCCTGATATGCAGCTTTTTTTTTTCTTTTTCCTGGCTATACAGTGTTTCCTTTCACTTCCTTGACTTTTTCTGGAATTGTATTCAACATGCCATCTCGCTCATTACAGTGGAAAAAAAAAAAAAAGCTTGCATTTAATGTCCGCTTCTGCCTCTGGGTGTACACATTTCATTGCACTGTCATTCCCATTTGTGAAATGAGAAGTAATATCACATTAAATTTGACTGAGTCACTAGGGCAGATCCATTAACTTTCTGCATAAAATGATTCTTCATGCAAGGCTCTCTTTCCTGGTAGGAAATACATTTAGAAGGTCTAGGAGAGATGAGTAGCTATCTGTAACTTAGTCCGAATATTTCATTAGAGACTTTTTGTCCTTAAGCTGTCTCACAATATACATACATATAGGCTGCAGACCAGGATCTCAGCCTTGTTTGGGGAGTTGGGTGGCTCTTGCACAGAATGAATGCCAGTTTTCACATGTTGCATGTTGTCTCTGTAAAAGATGAAATACAATATTAGCTTGAATGTCGACAAAACAATGGAGTATTATTTCTGTGGCTACCCAGGTCAGGTGCAGTGGAGTAAGGTCAAAGGCTAGGCCAGTACCATGACTGGAGATGCCTGGAATGCAGGGCTTACATCTGAGTGGAAAATACAGGGTGGGAGGTAACTATTTTCCTTATTTGGCATACATAATTATTTTATGTTTGGTTTTTGGGTGGTAGAGTGGATCAGGGCCTCTGAAACGATCAGAATTTGTGATAGACTGGAGAGGCTGGCAAACTCGGAGTTACAAAAGCCCAATTCTCATCTCTTTTAGCTTTGATTTCCCTTTTAAGCCCAAAAACAATTAGCATTTTGAGAGATAGTCCACAAAAAATATTTGTTCTTGTAATATAGTGCATAGCTATCTTAGTGTATTTGATCCGAAGGTGTTTCTGATTCTGCCCTTCATGTATTGTGTCAAATTAAGCTTTAATACGGCAGCAGCCAGGCTAGACTCTAATCTGTTTTTAATGTTAAGTATTGTTCATACATTCCCTTAAGTTTCCAAGTCTTTATCCCCTGTGTTATGCTCTTAAAATTTATTTCTCTCCCTACTCTTTATTTTAAGGTGAAAACATTTATACGTTATCTGTCTAAAACAAGATGGATGTACACCTTTTCTGCTCAAATGAGACTGGGAAGCAAGTAAGATAGTTTCATGTTCTCTAGATACAATTTCATTATTTAGAAGCATGTATTTCAACTGAAATATGGAAATGTATTCCTATCTTGCACATTAGCAACATCAGGACTGACTCATTTGTTGCAAGAAAGCTGTTCTGAGTTCTTAATTACAGAGATGGATTCATTTCCATCTCCCTCCACCCTCCCTCCATGCATCTATTCCATGCCATGTTTAGGGAACTATTGGCATATATATGAATTACAGAGAAAGTATAGACTAGATTAAATGTTTTGTAAAAGGTCTGTATTTTTATATTATTTTCCTTTTTTTATTATTATAAAATATTTTTGTATCAGCAGATCTGCTTTTGTTTTTATTGAATAACTGGAAAGAGTTGATAATACTATTCCAGCATGTTGTTAACTATGAAGTGGTATTTGTTTTCATAAGCTGGTAAAATTGTGGGCTGGTTTTAGGTTCTGTTAGAGAAGGCAAGATGACTTCTGACCTGCAGGCCAGCTTTGGATACATCTTTAAGATCTTTAGCACATCTGCTGATGTTTTCCCATTTGCAGTGATGGAAAGGGTTCTTAATTGGCAAAATCACTCTCAAGCACCAAAGCTGCATAAAGCCTATGCAGCATGTTGGATGCAGGGCCAAGAAAAAGGAATAACTTCTTTCTTGTTTGTTACTGTCCTATTTTGATAAGCATTCACATCTCTTTGTGAGCTTACACTTTTAAACCAGGTCCCTGCTGAGATGGAATATGATACATCCAACAACTGTTGCAAAAAGCAATGGAGTGCTGTTGGTAAGAAGGAAGTAACATCTTCACAAGAAATACAGGTCAAGGCGGCTGATGAAGGAGGCATCAAAACTCAGAAAATAGCAGAAAGCTCCTGAAGCGTGTACATCAGAGCACAGCAAGACTGAAAGGAGATGATACCTGGAATGGGAGAAGAGAGAGAAGGAGCATTTAGCCAAAGGGACCAGCAAGAAGCTAGAGACTGAATAAGGGAGACCCTCCACTGATCCATATAGTTTTCATACTGAGCCTCTGCTTTGGAAGTGGTGAAGGAGTTAATTATAACATTGAATGAGATGCTCTGCTCAGCAAAGCTCCAGGAGCACCAGCTAAGGACCTGGTTTATGGGTAATCTATACTTATACATTAATAAATAGGCATTTTATTTCTCTTGAGTACAATGTTGTAGGGTGTTTTAAGAAGTATCATCAGTTTGTTATTAAATAGGCAAATATATTCTCCTTTTATGTATAGATAGATAGATGGCAAGACGAGGGAGATAGTTAGCTTTTGCAAAACATAAGCTAGATAATTTTGTTGAATAATTTCATAATCTAACTCAAAACCTAATTTTGGAGGTTGCTTCTAGCCTAACAGCTACAGCCTGTCAGCTCAGCCTGCTGGAAAAGCTGTTTCTCTAGACCGGTTTTTGGCAGAAAGATCTTACGTAAATCATATATTTAACAATATATGGCATAGTTCTTAATTTTTAAAGGTGTTAGATCCATCCTGGATTAGGTAAGAATTTTTTTTCCCCTAATGACATTAATTTTTAAAAGCTGAGTGTTACATACATGTATTACTTAAATAAAACAGAGTAGGAACTTGGAATGATAGAATGGCCTTAAGACTTTCTGTCACTGGTTCTCCCTCAACTCTTTTCGGAATCAGCTTATCTTTAAAATACTTGGTGGGGCTTTACAGCAGCCACCCAAGACAGATGTCCAGAAAGATGACTGATCTCAGAAAAGAGCTATGGCATATTTTACAAAGTTTTGTGGATTGAAATGAAACTGTGATCCACAGAAACAATTGTTGTTGGGTGGCTTGGGTTTTTTTGCAAGCTTGAGTGTATTTACGAAGAGGAAATCTGGAGAAGAGTATCCATTACTAAATGCAATTAAAGGGGAGGGAAAAACAACAGCAACTTGCTGCAATTCTTGTAAAGAGCTTTGCTAAACTCCTGGGAATAGAAGTCACTGATGCTTCTGTTTCCAGAATTGTTCTTAATGATCTTATTACTCTGTTCTTCTAGTGAACTTCCCTGATTGTAAAAATCATCAGACACATAGAACACTTTTGCAGACAAATGAAGTGGAGAAGCAAACTCTGAGGTCTTCTCAGTCCAGGCACCTTGGAGGAGGAATATCTGGCACCAAATTCCGATAGATCAGAGGGTGTTTACTGGGACTGGACTGTTTTGCAGAAGACGGGATTTGTTGCAATATTTGTAAGTTCTGCATGTTTATTTGAATAGCATGGTTGTTAGCTATTTGTAATCTCTCTTTCGTATTTATTAGAAGTTGTGGTGTGGTTAGACATTCTATCAAAAATACTTCCTTATCTAATTGATTGTATCAAACTTCAGTGTACATAGGATTCAAAGAGTTCAAGTAGATCATGCATTTTTTAGGATTTTTTTTTTTTTTAAGAATCCTTCCACAGGATTTTGAAGGTTATTTCCCTTGCAAATTCATGCTTGTGAGGTAATGGGGCTTTGTCTTCATTATCAAAGATACTACCAACAGGGTTTAGAAATGAAAGCACATATAATTACTGAAACAAGTTTGAGCAAATTGCCAGGGAGACAGGATTGAGCTTATTCTGTGGATTTTAATATTGCACCTATTCTGTGGAAGATAAGCGATTCCATTTTCCATAGCCATCTCTCTGATGTTATGGGTACAATCCACATTAATTTAAATAAGGCAAAAAAAATTAAAATGATACATGGCTGTATTCCCAGTGGGTTTTTCCCATTTTTTATAAAACTATTTTTATGGCTTTTTCACTGAAGTAATTGTTCTTCTGTATTTTTAGTATCATATTCCAAATGGAAATATTTTTATATATATAATTTCTTTATTTATAGAACAATTAAGTTAATAAGATATTACGTTATTCTTTCAGAGTGATTCTAAGGACAGAAGGAACTTGAAAGGTGAGATCAGAGGACATAGTGAGTTAAACTACAGTCATTAGTATTTCACCTATCCTATGCTGTTCTTCTTCCAGTAACCCTAAACGTGTAAGTTTGCAAACTGATGTTTTCTTTACATGTATGTTGTACAAAATTATAGAAAATGCAAATGCCTGACAAAAGTTTCTTTCCTATCCTACTTGCACATGAAAATGTAAGTGACTCTTAATGTAAATATTAACTAGTCCCATGGAACTGAAAATCTAGCTTTAATATACCATGTAGGTTTGCAGACAACCCCTCCAAATTTTTGTGAAGAGAAACAACCTTGAAGCGTGTTTATCACGCTGTTTTCACACTGAATGAGTCTTCTTCGCAGAGAAGATTACTGACCACTGTAATTTGGTTTATAATTGAAGGCTTCTTAAAGAGTTTGTAGCACTCCTGTGCTGAAAGCCGTAAGATTTCCAAGAAATCTAGGATTTTGGAGTGTGTTTCTAAGGCTGTTCAGCTCTCTAAAAGCCAGCTATGCAGCAGTTCAAGTATGATGCATTCCTGTCTCCACTGCTGGAGTTCCAGAATATTTTACATTCAGTGGCATGAAGGCCGACATTTGTCTGATTAAAAATTCAATAGGCAAGCAAAAAAAAAAAAAAAGTCTGCTCTACTTTAAGTATAGTATATTTGTTGTGTCAAATTCTCTGTGGCTGTAAATCAGACAAGATCAGACCTGTGGTCTTACAATCATGTCTTATCTGTGGTAACCTTTCCCTTTCTGTTTCCTTGTCTCATGTTTGAGGTGACACTAATCTCTGAACAACCACACCCCCCAATTTTCATCTAGTACTGCCGTAACCCTGGTAAAGCCATTAAGTGGTAATTTTCCCTATACACAGGAAGCCCTCTGTGCTCAGCATCTCAGCATGAGATACGGTTATGGCACAAGCAGGCTTTTTTCAAAGGCCTGATATAATCCTGAGAATATATTGTGGCACAAGCCAGCTAGAAAGCAGAGAAGAAAAGCAGAGATTGTTCAGGCTTTAACAACAATTGGAGGAGGATGAGGCACTAGTTTTAAGCAGAAACGGTCAGCTCTGCAGCAAGGTGGCTGGAAAGCTCTGAGACACTCTGGCTTGCTTTCTCCATTCTGAAATGGGTAAGGGCAGTGGGGACAGTAACAAACAGCATGGAGGTAATGACCTACTAAACTATTCCAACTCTGGGCATAGTGAATATGTGTCCATCTGTCTCGCTTCTGGGATGAGAGCAACCAGTCCATTCCCTGCTGTTTCTGGAGAGTAGTCCTAGGCAAAAGGGGACTCATGGCCCTGTAAAATGCTGACTTGAGTTGTTTGTGTCATTCTTCAGAGACTGCCTACTCATCATGTCTTCCATTCTTGGGAAGATGAAGAAATTTGGCAGTTCTGACATAGAGGAATCTGAAGTGACAGATGAACACACGGATGGGGAGGACTCCGTGCTGGGAACGCCTGACAGCCTCCAGGGTACACTCAGCACCAAGGTGCAGCCACCCAAAAGCAACATCTTTGCAAGACGTGGGCGGTTTGTGATGGGGGATAGTGACAAGGACATGGCTCCCATGGACTCCTTTTACCAGTTGGATCACCTGATGGCACCTTCTGTCATCAAATTTCATGCCAATTTGGAGAGGGGGAAGCTTCATAAGTAAGTTTGCCTTTTGTAGGATTTGGTTGTAATGAACAGTTTGACGGCTGCAGACTGTGTTTTAGAGCAGCATTTATTCACTCCACATGAGCGTGCCCATTTTTTCAGTTTCACTATTTTCTATGCCAAAATAAGGAGTGTTGCATTTGAAAGTGACAATAGCTACTGTCTCTTTGCACCTCTGAAAATTCAGTCCATGGATATCTTGCTCAAAATTAGCCGTAGGCCTTAATTCATTTCTTTGAGACCGTTCAGTGAGTGGACATCACTCAGAATGAGAACATGGGATTGCCTGGCTCCCAGCCCAGCAGTTAGACTGCCATACTTCAATGCCTCTTTTAAGTCTTGTTCTCAACTTCTCAGCAACAGATACATAATTTTATCAGTTGCTTGCAGGCTTTGTTGATCTTGTAGACTTTGCAGATCCATCTATACTAATCTGTAGTGCTTACTACTTCATATAAGCAAATGAAAACTAGCATTCTGGTAGTTTATAATGAAGTCTGCTAAATATCTGACTTTAAGTAACTGAAATTTACTCTTGTTAGGCTCCTATCTATAGATTCCATCACAGGCTGCTCAGAAAAAGCTTTCAAATTTTATGACCGCAGAAGGATCTTTGATGCTGTAGCCCAAGGCAACACAAAGGACCTGGATGATCTGCTACTCTATCTTAATAGAACCTTGAAGCATCTCACAGATGATGAGTTCAAAGGTACTCTTTAGTGTCACATACCTTAAGTTGCTTCTTCCAGTAGTGCTCCTGAGATGAAAACAAAAAAACCCATAATTGTGCTAAGTGTCTGCAGGAGGTCCTCTAATAGCCAGTACTTCCCTATTGATTGGGCAACCTATTGATTGTAAGGTTACAGGAGAATACAGAAAAGCTGAAATTTTCTGTGAAACCCTGAATCAGTTTTCTTGTCTTTTGAAAAGAACCTTGTTAATTCCTGCATGCCTGGGAGTAGATGGTAGGTTTGTAATCACTTCTATATAGCTGCAATTTTTTGTGTTATAGAGCCAGAAACTGGGAAAACCTGCTTACTGAAAGCCATGCTGAATCTACATGACGGGAAAAATGATACCATTCCCTTGCTGCTGGATATTGCAAGGAAAACTGGAACTCTGAAAGAGTTTGTTAATGCAGAGTATACTGACAATTACTACAAGGGTAAGTGAAACAGCTGCTACAGTGAATACTCTTGGTGCTAAGACTGGAGATGAGGTTAGGCAGGGCGCTCAGACAGTCTTCTGCATGAGGCCTCATGCCTGAGGATGCAGCACCCCAAAGTTCCAGTGTGTGATTAACAATCAGTGCATTCGTGCTAGGGCAGTGTTTTGCTAGGTACAATATTCTGCCATTTTTGATATACAGTGATTTTAATAGTAAGTTTGGGGGACTTGCGTTTGCTGTCTGTGCCATCTTTTTTTGTTCAATTCTAGAGCTTTTTAGTTTGCAGAGCTCTTAGTTCCACCATATTACATGGAGCTGAATGAATAGCAGTGCCTGAAAGCTGTATTTAAATGTTGAAGATTTCTGTCTGATATGTGCCTCTGTAGGCCAGACTGCACTTCACATCGCCATTGAGAGAAGGAACATGTACCTGGTGAAGCTTTTGGTCCAGAATGGAGCAGATGTTCATGCAAGAGCCTGTGGGGAGTTCTTCAGGAAAATCAAAGGGAAACCTGGCTTTTATTTTGGTAGGGGTGAGCACAGTATGGGCTTTATTGATTGAGCTATCCTAGTATTATCCTAAGTGCAAGCCGCTAAATAATCCTGTTTATGTGGGACTGGAGGCTCAGAAGTACCAGATGGGCTGTTCCACCATTTAGTCAAAATATTTACTCCCAAAGGCTGAGATGATAACAAAACAGGGTTGGTTGTTGATGGTGTTCAGTGTGAGTTTGGTGTCTGCATCCCTTTGTTTTCTGGGCACTGTATCCTTTAAAAGGTTGTAACCTTCTGCTAGCTCTCCTTTCAGTGCTTTTTAAACAGCCATGTTTCTGTGATGCAGTTAAACCAAAGAAAATGTGATTCTAGCAGGTATCACAAAAACTGGTGCTTTATCAGACAGAAAAATACACCTCCTTTTCTCATGGTGAAAGATGAAAACAACATGATCTTTTTTCTATTTATGCACGCGTAGCAATGGGCTCTCTGACCACTCATTCCCCTTGCTTGCCTGTAGGGGAGCTGCCTTTGTCCCTGGCTGCCTGCACCAACCAGCTCTGCATTGTGAAATTCCTCCTTGAGAACCCCTACCAGGCAGCTGACATTGCCGCTGAGGACTCCATGGGCAATACGGTCCTGCACACACTGGTGGAAATTGCAGATAATACTAAGGATAATACCAAGTTTGTTACCAAGATGTACAATAGCATATTGATCCTTGGTGCCAAAACTAATCCAATCCTGAAGCTAGAAGAACTCACCAACAAGAAAGGGCTGACTCCATTAACTCTGGCAGCCAAAACAGGGAAGATAGGGGTAGGTGAGCAAATGTGTTTAACTGTCCCATTACATGCAAAGCGTTCATGCAGGACAGATTTTATCATTGCTTATTGTTGGGGCCTTTTAGTTAAGAGGAACTGATGCTGCAGTTTAACATGCAAAACTGCATAGTCTTTAAAGGCTACGAAGTGTGTGTGTGTCTGTGCCCAGCTGGCATTACTCATATACCACTGGTATGCAAGGCAGCCCAAGTGGAAACAGAAGGTGGGTCTTTGCTATCATCTGAACCACCAGAGGCCTTGTACTTTTGACTGGCTGATATAACTCATTTTCTGGCAGTCCCCATTCAAAATGTCTGTGTGCTCAGAGATGTGTAACATACATCTCTGTTTTTCTCTTGTAGTTTCAAAACAGATAATGGGAAGTTGTAAGTGGTATATGTATTTCTCATCTCCCACCATCCAGTGAGAAAATTGTGTTTGCTTCAGGCTTTGATCTCTGCAGTGCTCCAGTGTTTTGAATTCAGCACAGTTAAACTAGGGGGAAATTAGCCATCCTGTCTTGTGGAGATAGTAAGGAACTAAAAGTCCATTAGCACTGAAATGTTGGTTGTATTGTTCTTTTGCAATTAGATTTTCGCTTACATCCTCAGACGAGAGATCAAAGATCCTGAGTGCAGACACTTGTCTAGGAAGTTCACTGAATGGGCTTATGGACCTGTCCACTCATCTCTTTATGACCTGTCCTGTATAGACACATGCGAGAAAAATTCAGTGCTTGAGATTATTGCCTACAGTAGTGAAACGCCAGTGAGTATGCACCTCCTTAGCATTTTATGCGCAGGCTGGGGGACTGTTGGGGACGAGCTGCATGTTCCGTACAGTGCATCTTTTGCCTCATTTCTATAAAACAGCAGTCTCTCCTCCTGAGTTTAAGGGTACTAGAGGGAACATTTGCTGAAAATGAATATAATTTGCTGTTTTCAAAGCTTAGTACATACTTGTCCCAACAAGATTCTCCTCTTTCTCCTTCTGCTCAGAACCGTCATGAGATGCTGCTGGTGGAACCCCTTAACAGGCTGCTGCAAGACAAGTGGGACCGGTTTGTCAAACACTTATTTTACTTCAACTTCTTTGTCTATACCATGCATATTGTCATCCTCACTGCAGCTGCTTACTATAGACCTGTACAGAATGAAAAGGTATGTTATGCCTGTCACATATCAGGGGAACCACCCAATGCATGATGTCCCAGATCTGCCTTGCATTTGAGTGTGTGCTCCTAACATCAGACTTTTCCTCTTTCCTGAAGGTAGGAGGGAGATTTGGACCCTGCTTGCTTCCCAGTCTTGCCCCCTTGCTGCAACACATTCAGAAACTTAACCTGACCCCCCAGAAATGTTGCTGCTTTCAGCTCATGGCAAGGCCAGGTCTTTCCTATCTCCAGTTCTGCTGAACATACCTGTCTTCCTGTCTTATACAGCCTCCATTCACATTTCATCACAGCACTGGGGAATATTTTCGAGTGACTGGAGAGATCCTGAGTGTACTGGGAGGTCTCTATTTTTTTTTCAGAGGGGTAAGATATTTGAAACTTTTCCTTTTTGCTGTTCGGGTAGGTGTAGGAGAGAACCAAACATGCCTTTCCTATTCATTAGCATTGGCTGCTAAGATAATCCATGTTTAGTCAAGAGCTACAGATCTTTTTCCTTGGCCTGATTAGGAGTTCTCAGGTTACTAATGAGCCCACAGGCTAAGATAGTTTTATCTGTTGTATAAAAAAAGGCTATCCTTAGAAGTCAGTGATAATCTCGGGAATTAGTCTGGCCAAAGCTTAAGAATGGGGTATTGCAAATAGCCAAGCCTCTATTAAAGATTACCTGTCTTAGCTTAAAGTCCCCCTGCTTCCTCTTGGCAGCCAATGGAGAGTGTACAATGAATCACAGGTCCTCAAACCAGCAACCGAGTAGGTTGTTGTCTTCAAAAGAGACATCAGATGTAAGAGAAATCAAGTGTCACTGTAAGAGTCCTCCTTAGATCTTGTGCCACTGTTGTTTTTGAGCTATTCTTGTGAGATGCTTTATAGGTCCCAGCTCCCTGGTATAGGTAGCAGTGCTTAGCTGACACATTCACATGGGATACTTAATCCCTCCTTGGATGCAAACCTGGTCTTAATTCCCATTTTTTTCAGATACAGTATTTTGTGCAGAGGCGCCCATCATTCAAGACGCTGATAGTTGACAGCTACAGCGAGGTTCTTTTGTAAGCTTCAATATCTTTGACTGCATTTCAGCATGAAACGGATGAGTGTGTGAGACCTGTAGCTTTGGCTGAAGCTACTTGTAGTGGGTAGATGCTTTGCTATAATTTCCTGGGTCCTTCCAAAATATTTGCCAGTGGATATCATGGCACGTGAACAAGCAGGTCTGGATCAGTAACCTCCTTTGGAGGTAAAGCAAATGAAGTGTCTAGAAGTTCAGTGACTGTCATGCAGCAGAGTCAGGAATAGATCTCCAAGTTGGACTTGTGATTGAGTGTATGCATTGGATGTCCAGAAATCCTCCCATTCCTAAAGGGAGCTTTGCCTCTCAACAATTTTGGCCCTTTCTCTTCCCACCTGGAGTGCAGCTAAACAGGGCGATTTCATGGGTTGATGGAAAGAGAGTGCTGAAGAAATTAGTGCTTTCAAGGACTTTTCTTCCCTCCAGTCACAAGGAAGAGCAGGCATGAGACCATGGAAGTTGGTATGTGGGGAAACTGAGGAGGTTGCAGGATTTGAGAAGGGAAAGAATGAAGGGAAGAGAGGAAGTGTCTAAATGGTTCCTTTGTGTTTTGGGCAATCCCTCATTCTGCTGTATACCTCATAGGGCTCCTCTGTTCCCACTACCTGTGGCCAACTCAGCACTCTGCATTCAGACCATGCTTGTTTTTCAGCTTTGTTCACTCCTTGCTCCTCCTGAGCTCTGTGGTGCTGTACTTCTGTGGCCAGGAACTGTACGTGGCTTCCATGGTCTTCTCCTTGGCGCTGGGCTGGGCTAACATGCTGTACTACACCCGTGGCTTCCAGCAGATGGGCATTTACTCTGTCATGATTGCCAAGGTCAGTCCAGTGAGTGGGTGATGAGGGCAGCAGAGTGCTGAGATTAAGATGCTGCTGCCAACAGCCCCATTTCCAGGAGAGAAGTTGCCCTATCTACCTCCATGATGCCACTGGGAAATCTCATATCACTCTACTATACTTGCCATTATTTTCTGAGTGAAGTGATACAATTTAAGTTGTGTAAAAAAGCCTCCTGTCCCTCATCCATATGTTTTATAGCAGTCTTGACGTTATTATTACCTGCCATGCTTCAAAATAACTACAGTTGGATAGGCATGGATGAAAGTAGACTGAGAACAGTGCAGACTTGTCTGGTGTGAAATGGCACAGCTTTCTACCAGCTGGAAATTTCTTTAGGTACAGGTTAAATGTTACCAAACGAGCAATTAACTAAGAGGCAGTAGCTGGCTAATAAACCTCTATGTATCATGTGGACAGCTAGCCCAAGAGGGGAAGAAAGATGCAACTGTCTTAATGTGGTTTATACCCACAAAGATGAAACTACTTGGCATGCATATGTCTTGCATATGTGTGTAAACTGTTGCATGAATAACAGAGAAATGTGTTTTCTGTATTAAAGTTTATTTTCTCAGCAGGATAAACAACAGTTTAATGCATGCACAGCCAGTTCACAGCAAATGCCTTCTTGAGATGAAGCAGTATCTTCTACCAGTTTTTGCTGCAGTTTTATTCAAGTTTTAGTAATATAAAATACTCTGTTTCCATGTTGTAGATGATCCTTAGAGATTTATGTCGCTTCATGTTTGTCTACCTAGTATTCCTCTTGGGATTTTCTACAGGTAATATCATGCTTGGACTTGATTTTTGTTATTTTAAAGAATCTCAGAAAATTTTATTTTGCAAGTGGCTTAGACTTTTTGTTTCCAACTAAAAATTAAAAAATTAACCTAATTACAAAAAAAAAAATCACTTCAGAATAACAATTACATATAGTAATTTCATACCGCTTTTCATCCCTGGGTCTCAAACTGCTTTGCAAAGCTGAATGGAAAAACAGTCATCCTGTTCTATATAGATAAACTAAGACAACACCTTCTGAGAGGGTGTCAGTTATGGGGAATATTTTATAGAGCAATTTCACTGGGGACAATGCACCATGAAGATAACATGTCTTACTTTTATGATCATTTTCATTGTTTGCAATGGAATTATGATCTCAAATGGTATTTTCATCCTGCATATGTGATTCCTCTTTCGCAACAGCTGTGGTGACTTTAATTGAAGATGACAATGAGGGGCAAGACATAAATAGCTCTGAATATGCCAGATGCTGCCAAATGAGACGAGGCCGCACATCCTACAATAGTCTGTATTATACCTGCTTGGAGCTTTTCAAGTTCACTATTGGGATGGGGGACCTGGAGTTCACAGAGAACTACAGGTTCAAGTCTGTGTTTGTCATCCTTTTGGGCACTGATGGGGGAAACTGTGAGCAAAATTGCACAGGAGAGCAAGAGCATCTGGAAACTTCAGGTACATTGGTTCTGGGAGGCTGCTATCCAAGATAGAGGGTGTGGGGAATCATAAGAAATTTCAGAGCGCATCTTTAGGAACTGACATGTTTCTAAATAACAGGTCACTGCTTCTTTCTGTTTCCCCAGAATAGTTCCTAAAAAAAAAAAAAAAAAAAAAGTGTATTAGCTCTTTTCCATACATACTTGATGTTTTGCCTGAGCATATGTTCCCAGTGTTCCACAGATGTTCAGAATTTAAGAAAAGAAGTACTTTTGTAATTAGACAGAATTATTTGGGCTTTTGATGATGGAAAATCTTGATCAGACTATGAAGACAGGGATTATGCAAGGGAAAAAACAATCTTTACCAGAATCTCAAAGGCACACAGTTTTTTGTTTGAGGTAAAAGAGGGAACTTCATACGTCTAATCACAGGGCAGTAATTTAGCATTTTTAATGACATATTAACAGAGGGTGATGTTTCAGAGATGGTTACGATGCCTGCTCTAAGATGGTGACAATGATAAAAGCTCAAGGTTTTTACAATAAAGGCAGAATTCAGGATTTGTATGACTTTGAAACAGCAGCTTCTCAGTGGTCTGCTTTCTTTTACCTGGTAGAGAGCCATCACAACCTTGGATATTGAAAACAGCTACTTGAACTGTGTGAGGCGCTCGTTCCGGTCTGGGAAGCAAGTCTTGGTGGGGGTCACACCTGACGGCCAAGATGATTACAGATGGTGCTTTAGGTAACCTGTTTGTATGTCAAATGAACAATCTTTTATAGACAAACAACATTAAGGTATCTGGTAATGGGAAGCAGAACCTTCCCCCAGGAGCACTCCTCTGAAAAGTAGTCCACTAACACTGTCTACAGAAGTCAGTTTAATCTGTTTTCTGGGTCAGATCTGAGGCCTGAGAGGTGGCAGCATGTGATATGAACTCACTCCAGAGTTGTCTGGTGATCCTTAGAATAGGTTTTTTTGTTCTTTTCTCCTCAGGGTTGATGAAGTGAACTGGTCCACGTGGAATACTAATCTGGGCATAATCAATGAAGACCCTGGGTACTCTGGGGACCTCAGACAAAATCCCAGTTACTCTATTAAGCCTGGCAGAGGTGAGGGTTTCAGGGACCTAAATCCTCGTATGGGCTACCCGCTGGTGATAGAAGCAGCATTGATTAATTGTTAGAGGGCAGTCAGTTTATGGACTTAATGATAATGGCAATAGCTAAGTTAATGGCATTTTCAGTCAGCACAAAATATAAAGGATTAAATGGGCTTATGTTCATGTAGCAGTTTCACTCTTGGGAATAGAAGCCCCATAGATTCATCATTCTGACTGTAGATTTTACAAGGTAGATAATATGTGTTGTAAATCTTGAGGAGGTGGGATAGTGTATGATGGCAGCCAAGTAGCCAAGAAGCTCCTTCAGAGGCCCCAAACTCTATAGTTTGGGAGCTCAGCATCCAGCATAGAAGTATTTAACTGTACGATCAGCCTCTGCTGTACTTGCTAGCTGAAATACGAAAAACTCATGGAACAGTATGGGGAAGAAAAACACAAAGCTCTTTCTTCCTGCTTATTTCTTTTTCTTTCATCAGCTTCCTATTTAAACCAATTGTGTATTTTCTTCTGTTTCTGTTGAGGGGAAAAAAATAACCATTCCTTTCCTTTTTAGTTTCAGGGAAAAACTGGAAAACGTTGGTTCCACTTTTAAGAGATGGAAGCAGGAGAGAAGAGACTCAGAAACTACCAGAAGAAGTCAAATTAAAACCTGGTATGGAACCTTATTATGAGCTAGAAGATTCTGAGACGTTGAAGGAGGCACTTCCAAAGTCAGTCTAATCTTATTTTATTTTTAAGAAGATGATTAATTCCAGTTGCCTATGTTGGTCCTCACAAGCAGGGCAAATAGAGCACTTCATTCATAAAAACAGGGATTTATGGAAAAAGGTCAGCGGACTTAGAAAATTACTGTGTGCGAGGATTTATTAAGTCTGCTAAATAAACTACTTGTTGTTTAAGCTCATGGCTTCATGGTTATTTTTAATATAAATCTGCAAGAAACTCTCTATACTACTTGGTTTATATTTACTTGGCTAGATATTTGCAGCTAGGGCGTCTCACAAAGTTAGAAACAGTTCCCATAGTTTTTTTTGTTTTGTTTTATAAACACATTGAAAATTTCCCACACTTCAGAGCTGACTGTAAGGTAGCTAGCCCTCTTTTACTGCAGATGTTTTTCCAGTCTTCATCCATTTCTTTAACTCTTTGAAAGCACCCTCATGCATTTCTGAAATCTGAGATGACATTTGCATTGTTAACTAACAGGAGCTTCTCTAAGTTTTGCAGGTTGGTGCAAGTGGCCAGTGATGGTGGATACTCTGATAATACAAAAATGACAAAAGCGCCTGTAGAAAAATTATTATCCCTCAACACCCTGAACACAATGGATTTCATACCTTCTGTCTGCTTTTAGATTCTCTTTCTTTTAAAAAGTAATTTTGTGAGCAGCTACAGGCCCTGATTTTGTGGCTTTGCAGCCTCAAAAACTAACCAAACTATTATGAAACTGGAGAACGGACTCTATAAAAGAGAGTAAAAATCACCAAGACCCCAGAGATATGTTCCTGTGAGGAATATTTCTTGGAAGGAGATAAATAAATGGGGGGACAGTGAAAGAATACAAAATAATGAATGGTCTAGAGAAGTTGTTATTCTTTTCTCATAACACAAGAACAAATATACTCTGTGAAAATTTAAAGGTTGAATAGTCAAAATCAATGAAATAAATGTTTCTCTTACACTGTCTGAGTAAACTCCAGAATTCACACTTATTGTTATTGAGGCTAAAGGCTTAACAAGATCCCAAATTTGACATTTATTTAGATAACAGATGAACTTTGCACAAAGTAAGAGATAGTGGTTATAAAGAATATATATTTCAAAGGTCAGATGTATAATAATATATAACAATAATAACCTTGAAATCAGAAAGTTTTTTGTTCTTGACTTTGACAGCAACAACAGGAGGAAAGAAATGTGATGCTGCAAATCCATCTGGCTGGATTTACAAAGAGAATCAGGAAAAATATCCGAGAGACAAAATAGGCAGATGTTCCTAAACTACAGATAGGAGCCTTGGAAAGAGAGGAAAGAATAGGAGGAACTTTGGCATCCTCTTGAAAGTGGCTGGACAGAAAGGAACTAAGAATAAGAAAAATTGTCTTAGAGACAGCTGGCCCAATATTTCAAGTGCTGGACCTGTGCAGGTGTGTTGGAAAAGAAAAGGTAAATTCTTTTACCTTCTTTCCTTGTTATGTATCGCTAAAACCACTTAGACTTAACAACCTTTAATGTGCAAGTATAGAGTGCGTGTACAAGTACCCTTAAGCCAACAAGGTGTTTATCCATGGGTCTTAGTTTGAGCATGTGCACTGTTTCTGTGGTTGCATTTGAAGTACAGTTGTGCTAAAGTGCTTCTGTGAAATTGCGCCAGAGTGCGCAGCCTTTGCCAGGAAAAGCCTGTCGTGCTTGGCCTGTGACGCATCCCAGACTGTGGTCAGAGAACATTCATATGAGTCATTGAAGTTGAAAAGTGGTACGCTGGAGGGGTCAGTTGCAAATTATTAGGAAAATTGGAAATCAAAGACATAGAAAATTGAGCCAGCCTTTGAAAGATAATTTTCACCAATATCTATAATTTTTCTGCATTTAGTAAGATACTGAAACATTCACTATTCTTAAAGAGAAGCAATTAGTGTATTTACATACAGACTGCCCTTCATTGCTAACACTGTTAGATGAAGTTTTGGGTTGTTTGATGTCAGTTCTTTTACTGGGGTCAGGATTTCTCACGGTGTTCCTTTCTCATAGGGTACTACAGCAATATATTTCAACAAAATCTTCAAGCATCGAGCTGCTTTATTTGAAATAGTAGCACCATCTAGAGGACTAGTAATTCTTGTTTCTTTTGTTAACATGATTCAGGACAAACACAATTTTATTTTCATAGAGTTTGTAGAGAAACTTGCCAAAGGATTTGAGAGAATTGCTTGAAAAAAAAATCAGAATTTAAACCCAACAAGGTTTGTCTCTGGTGGACGAGGAAACCACAAAAAATGTTTAAAGTAAGCGTGTTCCATTTCATATCATTACAAAGGTACATCTCTAAACACTTAGTAGCATTCTCCATAGGTTCCACTCAAGACTTCATTATGCTCCATGCTGAACATGGCAAGAGACAGTCCACATGCAAAACAAGTACAGCTAAGTAGACAAGACAGGCTGAGACAGTGAAATAATTTATTATTAAAACTATTAAGAATAAATGTAGAAAGGGGCTGACCAGAAAAACATAGTTGATTGTCTCCATGCCTTTGTGTGCCAGGGCAAATTTATGCTTGAAAGCACACCAGGATCATTATGTAGCTTGAAAGCATTCATGAAATTTTTGTATTCCCTGTGAGGGATCCATTTCTCATAATTATCACCCTGGGTAGATAATCCATTGCTTAAATTCCACCTTGATTTACATCAAGTGCCTATTCAGAAGGATTGATCAGCTGCTCTAGGTAACCTGAACAGAATATAGATCACTGCCTTCCTGTCCCTTTCTGCTCCAACAGATTTTAAAGACTGCAAGGGACATCTTAATAAAAAATTGAAATGCTAGAATCCAGAGTGAAAACGTACATCAGTATAATGCTGCGGTTACAAATGCAAATGCTGTATATTTGTGGGATAGGGTGGTGCTGGTGGGTTTTTTGGTTGCATTTTTTAAATCCCTTAGTCTTCTCTGGGAAGCAAACAAAATTATCCCACTTTTCTAGAGCAAGTTATTACTAACCTCTCAGAATTTCCAGCTATATCATCACTCAGTTACTTCAATGGTCAGAAATTTGTTTGGGGAAGTAAAGCTTGGCAGTGACTCCAACCTGGTGTCACGCACATTTATTTGGATTCAGCTGGCCAGGGCTCTGTTTGCCACAGTTTACTTCCTTCATCTTCATTCCACCTAGGTGCATAGAAATGCTTTTGGGAATCAAGGTGCGTCTCTGTTCAGGCAGACTGGGTGGGATGCCTACGGGGGATGTACTTGTTCTGAACAGACAGACAGCACAAAGACTGACTCTCACAGTGGAGGGCTGCAGCTAATCCCCAGGGAAGAGAGGTGGCTTGTCAGGAAGTCTTTGTGCTTTAGGAATAGTTTTGCTAGGACCAGCACCTTTCTATTCCTACTGCTAGGCACTTCCACTGGCTGAGAAGCACAGCTTTGCAATAAATTATCTTTACTTGGGTTGTTTTGTGGAGGTTCTGCTCACCTTGGCAGACATATTTTGCATGGTCTTGCAGAATCCGGGTCTTGAGCACTTGGGGAGTTTTGTAGTTTGAGTTTGCATAATTATTTCACAGTGAACATGGTTAGAAATACCATATGTTTCCAATGCTATTTCTTGAGGCTTGCAGGTGGTAAAGATCTGTCCTCTCACAGTTATTAGTCACACTAATTTTTGTCCCCGCTAAGTGCTTAATATGAGTTGATCAGGTTCGACAACTGTATGTATCCATCAGCTCCCAATAACCGCACTGGCACAAAAGCAAAAGAAATGAAGGGTGTTGATGTGCTCACCTCCTGTCTGTGGGTGACAACTATAATTACCAATGACTGCAAATGCGTGTGGGATGGGAGATAGCAAGAAGGGGTGAGCTGGATGAAGATGAGTTGGGCTACACTTCATTGGGAGTTGAAAATGGGCTGATGAACATGTGGAAAAGAAACGCGATCCTGGTATTTTACAGCATTGCCATACCTGAGATGCAACTTGTCTAGTCAGCCATGTAAACTGAATTGTTGTGTCTATCAAACTCCAGTAATTTCTGAATTAGTTGAGAAAAATATACATCATATACAGTGAAAAACTTGGAGCCACACAGCCTGCTGTTTGTGTGCACTCATTGTGCCCTCTGCAACAGCTGGCATTAGAGTTTGAATAGCCCTCATCCTAATTAAACATTAGTATTAATCCCTTCTCAAGCAGCACATTGGTAGTTTTTAGTGGGGTCCACGACAGACACCAGGGCCCACAAGAGGGCCCCCAAGCCATGTGTGGGGATGCTACCTAGCCCCTCTGGGGTACCCCGTAACTGATTTGCCCCAGGAAAGCCCCTATTCCTCTGACGCCACTGTCTTGCTTTGCTGCCTCTGATCAAATTAATTATGCAGAATCATATTTATCTTTGCCAAATGCCAGCTAATTCTGTCACTGTTTTATGGCATCTATATCATACTAGGATATTACGCAGTCATGCATCTTTCCTGGAGTCCTCAGTACTCAAAAATCCACAAGGTGTGTGCCCATCAATGCTGCTGTGCTACAGAACACAGGGGATCCTGCCAACCCCATAGCCTTAAGGGTAAAGCCAGTGGACTCAGGTTCTGATGCTTGGAGTTTTCAGAACCCCATCAATAGGAATTTTGTATGGTGTTTTTGAACAAACTGTTATGGTAATCTTCCGAACTCAAAAAAGTCCATGTACCTTCAAAATCCCAGATAAGCTGATGTTTGGAGCAACCCACTGTCAGTCAGCACCTTGAAGATTTAACACCAGCTTGCATGTTTTGCTGCATTAGAGAGAATCCTCTTGCAGTGCAGGATACTTCTTACAAGTCTTTCTTGCTCCATTAGGCAACAGGCATGGATTTACTAGGGCCTGGGAGGAAGAGGTCTTAATTGATGCTGCCAGATGTAGTATAGACATTCTGGGTCTTCTTGATGTGGTTATAGGGCTCTGAAGTTCTTTCCATCACCCACACCATGCAGCCTGGGATTACTTCTGACTCTGGAATACTTTCCACAGAGGAAATGTGGACCCAATTTCTCTTGTATCAGATGTTAAACTGTACAAAACACTTCAAAATACATGGTGGAGAGTACCCTATTTCTCTGGGAAGGAGGGGAAATCAACCAAATGACCT